TACTAAATTTTAATAAAAACACGGAGGAAAAGAAACTCTCATACGCTGCTGACAGGAGTGTAAATTGGTACAAGCCATTGGTACAGCCTGCTAGTTACTGCCAATATCCATTTCTTGTTTTTCTACAAAGCTGAACCCAGATTCTTTAACTTGGCACATGGCCACTCAGAATAACTCTCCATTTCCTGGTCTCCTTTGAAGCTAAGTGTGGACATGTGAGTAAGTTCTGGCTAGTGGTATGTGATTGGAAGCATCATTGGAAATATCTGGGAAGTGTTATTAAATGAAGGGGAGGGGGGTCTCAATACATGACTGGAGAAAGAAGGGAATGGCAGAGAGAGATGGAAGTCATCTGTAATGTCTGAAGCCTCCCCCTCAGCTGACCCAGCCCCAGACTGGGCAGCCGGTAATTCAAGATGCTCACTCTGTTCTCGAAGGAAGAGGGGCCTCGGCCAGGAATACACAAAATGATCATTTTGTTTCTTGTGGAAAGGGAGTTTTGAGGTTGCTTATGATCATAAGTATATAACTTAGCCTTGGTACTGCTACACCCTAAATGGATGAAACTGTTAGAAGGGGGAGGCCATAAACAAAGTTGAAGTGGAGAGGTCTGAGGCACGGTGGTAAAGGAAGTACTGTATGATGACTTTCTAAACCTCTGTTTCAGCCTGGAGATATGTTAACAAAAACAGTCCCCCCCACCTCGTTTCTGCACTGTTCAACATATGCATAAATAAATATCTTAGAGCTTATTTTTGATGATTAGGCAATCCCTGGAAGGAAAAAAAATGATGAATTCAATTTGTTATTTCTCTGTCCTAAAAAAGAAGATAGTATAGCCCTTAGCTGCTTGTTTCAATAACAGTTTGTCTACCACTCAAAACCAGAGCCCCACATCTGTTCCTAATAAAAGTCTGTAATCAGCAGTGCCCATTGCCTTTCAAAACTTATTTTCTTCATCCCCAAACTATTCACAGACCTGGCCAAAGCTTATTTCTGTTGTCACCAAGACATAATGGCACTACATGTATTCCAAGAGAAATAAATCAGCAGTGATGCCAAGTAGAATCGGTGTCAGCCACTTAGGCGATTGAAAATCTGAGCCTTAATTACAAATTGACATGTTCACTTATTAAAATGCTGGAGTAGGCAGGGTTTTTTTTTTTGGTTTGTTTTGTTTTTAAGTTGATGACATTCAGACCTTAGTGATACTTTGTTTCAGGTCACAAGGCTAAAAGACATTTGATAATAAAAACAGTTCACATTTTCTGGAAAACAGACTCTCAAAACAGCAACCTTAAAACACCCTTTGCACAAGAAACATTTGTTGATGAAAACTGTGGACTTTGAACTGAGCCTGAAACACAGCCAACCAGGCCACTACCTTGCAAAAAGCTTCACCTGCAACTGGCCTGAGGCCAGCAGGTTCCTGGGTGAGAGATTTGAATCGGTCCACCATCCCACTTGGGCCGACTGTTTTGTTGCTCTGTGAGAACCAGCCAGGGTGTTGGAAAACAGCCTTTGGAAAAGGCTAATGTACAATTCTGGGTGGAAGTGCAGTTTCACTGTTCCTGAAGTGACAGGCCCTGCATACTTTCTTCTTCCTCTGGGAACGTTGATCTTCAATGTTTTCTCAGCTTTGAGCCATTTAAAAAGAGAAGCACATGTTGGGAGCTTCAGCAAACTTCTGTTTGCCCTAAAGCTATAGCAAGGTAGGGTAAGTGTGCAAAGTAACAGGGGACGCGGCAGACAACGGTGACACCAGACAGAGGGGTGGGGCCCAGGAGCCGCCTCAAGACCTCAAAAGCTCAGGGGAGCTGCTGTGTGGAGCTCACTGCCGACGACATGTAACTGCTGGGCGACTGTCCTTCCTGATTCCAAGGTGGGCACCGGACACCGGTCACTTCAGGCAGTCATACCTCCTCGTTCCACTGCCACCATCTCAGGTGTCTTTTAGCTGCAACCAAATCATTAAAAGATGCTGAAAAGCATATTCCCTTTTGAAGGATGTACCTTAGTTTGTTTAAAATCCATGTTTTTCAATCCTAAGGCCTATACAGTGCCACAAATTGACCAAGGCTTTGTGTAGGAGAAGGGAGGGGGACAAAGTGCATGGAAGAGATAGGAAAAGGACAGAATTTTTTAAAAATTGAAGTATAGTTGATTTACAGTGTTGTTACTTTCTGGTGTACAGCATAGTGATTCAGTTATGTGCGTGTGTATATATATATA